TTTTTGATTTATTGTAGAGATGAGGTCTCGCCAAGTTGCCCAGGCAGATCTCAAACCCTCAGGCTCAGGCAATCCACTCACCTCAGCCTCCCAAAGTGCAGGATTACAGGCTGAGCCACCGAGCCTGGTTTGGCTAACTTTTAAAAATTTGTTTAGAGATTGGGTCTTGCTATGTTGCCTGGGCTGACCTGTTCAAATACTTTTCTACTCCATTTTCTTTCTTTACTGTTTCTGGAATTATAATTATATAATTTTGCAATAGAGGAAAGAAAGGAAGGCACTCTTTTTTCACTGTATTCCATATGTTTTTGCCTCTTTTCTGTATTTTCCATTACTTTGCCTTTTTCCATGTTTCTGACCTATCCGGATATTTTTTCTGATGTATTTTCCACCTCACCAGTTACCTCCTTAGCTGCATCTAAACTGCTGCTAAGCCCAGTTAATAAGTTTTTCATTTTAGTTTTCACATTTTTGTTTTAGAATGTTCACTTGATTATGTTTATAAATTTCAAATATCTGCTGAAATTCTCTACCTTTTCTTTCATTTTGTCCATCTTTTCCAAGTATTTAATACATTAATCATAGCTAAAGTCCTTGCCTGATAACTCCAATAATCAGATTTATTTATGGGTTTACTCCTATTATTTAATTTTTTCTATTGATTTTTGGTCACATTTCCCTGTCATTATACATGTCTAACAATATAAAAAATAATGCCACACATTATGCATAGAAGAATAGTAGAGGTTTCAGATGAAGTTTTCCCCATTACTCTATTCAGCAGATAGAGTGGGGGAGCTAATCACTTCAATACTGTCAGGGATTGAGCTGGTCCAGGGCTGAATCGCATTTTTAGTAAGTCTCAGCCTATCTCCGCTTCATTCCTGTTTTTTGGGTATGGCTCTCCTGGGCTTTTGATTGAGAGACTGGAAGATCTCTTATCTCTTCAGCTCTAAATGACTGTGAGATATTCAGTTCTTCCCTTTGGAGATTTGGTCTTTGTGAGAGCATCAATGTCTGTGGCAGTTCCCTCCCTCTGGTGGAACTAATCACACTGAAACCATAGGAGATTTCACTTCACCTTCCAGGAGTTTGTGGCTCAGCCACTCAGCCACCCACACAGCCCCGGAACTAAAAAAATGTTTTGTGGGAAACACTGGCCACGCACTGGGAACTGCTTTAGTTTCCAATCATCACATTGGCACTACAAGATCATCAAAAGCTTTACTGCCTTCTCTTTCCTTCAGTAGAGTCTCTCAGCTTGAGCCAGGTGAACTCCTCAGTCCAAGCAGAGATTTGGGAAATGCTCTTAGAGAGAAAAACAATGATGATCGTCAACTCACCTAGGAAGGATTCTTCCCTCTCTGGATTTTAACTCATCGTGTCTTTATGACCATAGCTCTGTAATGTCTTCAATGATTCTGCAAGTCATCTCTTTTTTACCTCGCTAATACAGTCAGAGGATTGGCCAGCCATAACCTATTATATCCCACCCAGAAACAGAAACTTCCTTCTCTTAAATGTTTAACACTTTATGTGTTTGCTAGCTATTTATTTATTTAAAGACTGTTTATTCTTGAACCGAACTTGAGTATGGAAGCCCTGGGACACCCATCCTCAGGAGGTCCTGAGAATGCGTGCCCACTGGTTTAAAAATATTTAAACTTGCATTTTTCTATGTATGTCGACAGTTCCTCAGTATCTATATCCTTTCCTTGAAGAAGTTAGTGACACTTTCAGTCCTTACTCCTGAATAAATTCTTACTCCTGAATGTATTTCATATTGAGATCGTCTGAAGTTTCAGTTCCTATGTTATTGTCATCATTGTTGCTGCTGCCGCAGTTGTTACATTATGCATTAAAAATTAGACTTAACTAAAAAGTTTTACTGTTTTTAAAATCACATTTCCTATACCCCATATGTGTTTTGGCCTTGTATTCATTTTCTTTTTCTTGGGGACATTCCTGAGTAGTGACTTTTGAGTCTATGAATAATAATTTTATTCAGAGAGAGTCTGTCCAAAACATCTTCATTTTCCTCTAGATCTCAAAGACTAGTTAAGTATATGATCTTAGGATCAAAACAATTTCCTAGCCAGGAGTGGTAGCTCAAGCCTGTAATCCCAGCACTTTGGGAGACAGAAGCAAGAGGATTGCCTGAGCCTAGGGGTTCAAGACCAGCCTGGGCAACTTGGTGAGACCATGCCTCTATAAAAAAAAAAAATGAGTTAGGCATGTGGAGTGCACCTTAGTCCCAGCTACTTGGGAGGCTGAGGTGGAAGGACCATCTGAACCTATCAGGTCGAGGCTGTGGTAACTGTGAGCATTGTGAGCATGCCACTCCAGCCTGGATGACAAAGTGAGACTCCAACTCAAAATAATAATAATAATGATAACAACAACAATTTCCTAGATAAATTTGAAGCTCTTTTTCCATTGTTTTCTAATGTCGACAAAGAGAAATCATTTGCCATTTGCCAATCTAATTCTTATTTCTCTGAGAATAAGCAGTTCTCTCTCTTTCTCTCTCTCTCTCTCTTTCTCTCTCTCTCTCTCTCTCTCTCTCTCTCTCTCTCTCTCTCTCTCAGCTTTTCTCTCTGAAATTTTACCCCTAAGAGTGAGTATCCACCTCCCTAATATTATTCTTGCTTAGCACTTATTGATCCCCTCAACCTAAAGACTCACATTTTTTCAGTTCTGGGAAGATTTATCTTACTTATGGATTATCTTCTTTCCTCCATTTTCTCTTTATGGTTACATCTACTAAATACTAGATACATTTTGAAACTTTTATATCTAGTCTCAATGCCATTTAACTTTGCACCTTGGTAGGTTTTAATTTCTTCATTCTTTTTATCTTGGCCATTTTGCACTACAGTCTGAGAATCCCTCAGCTTATTTTTAACTCACTAACTCATTCTTTCAAAAATGGTTTGGAGACTCTGCCCGGCCGCTAGACTCAAAGCGTTGCACTCTAACCAGATTTTACTCCTCTGGGTTAAAACCCGGGCAGAGCCAAGATGCCGGCTTACCACTCTTCTCTCACTGCCCCTGACCCCAAGCTCATCAGTTACATGGCACTGTTACCTATCAGAAGTCAGTTCAAAGGATCTGCTCCCAGAGAGACAAAAGATACAGGTATTGTGGATGAAGCCTTCTATTACTTCAAGGCCAATGTCTTCTTCAAAAACTATGAAATTAAGAATGAAGCTGGTAGAACCTTGCTATAATAACTCTACATTTCTGAGTGTCTAAAGAAACTCCAGAAGTGTAATTCCAAAAGCCAAGGTGAGAAATAAATGTATACACTGGAAATCGCTAATGTTCCCATTTCTGGAGAGCTTGGTTTCCCACTTAATGCAATTTATGCCAAAACTGTAAACAAACAGGAAGATGATGTGATGAGAACCTACCTACAGCAGTTAAGGCAAGAGACTGGACTGAAACTTTGTGAGAAAGTTTTTGGCCCACAGAATAATAAACCCAGTAAGTGGCGGACTTGCTTTGTGATGAGGCAGTTCATGAACAAGAGTCTTTTTGGACCTAGACAGTGAGGGGAGCCTGGGGAGTCACTGTCTCCAAAGCCCTGGGCAGCATTTTCAAGCAAGATGTATACAATCCTTTGTCTTTATTTCATGAAGTTTTATACAGAAGAGAGAAGAGTATGTCTTTACTTGAAAACCTCTTGATGAAGAATTTGGGAGGGTGAGTGGAAAGTGGATTGTCAAGGGTGACCTGAAATTTTCTGCAGTATTAAACTGGTGCTTAATAAGAGTTAAGTAATAACAAAGAAATTTCTAACATTCAAAAAAAAAAGGTTTTGAAATATTTCAACAATTCAGAAAATTATAAAGAATAAGCAATATAACAAACACACAACTACAAGTTGCCCAACTTTGTTAGATCTTAACGTTTTAAAATATTTGCTTCCTATCTTTATTTTTTCGAAACAAAACATTGCTAGTCCAGTTGCAGCTCTGTTTCCCTACCCATTCCACTCCCTCCTTCCCTCTCCAGAAGGTACATTTCAACTATGTCAGATTTGGTCTTTATGATTTTAAAATTACCCTTTAACTAAGGTATTATTTGTATACAATAGGATTCACTTATTTTAAGTGAACCATATGACAGCTTTAGTAATTGTATGAAGTTGTGTAACCACCATCACAATCAAGATACAAAACAATTCCATCACTCAAAAAAATTTCCTGCCAGAAACGGTGGCTCACCCCTGTAATCCCAGCACTTTGGGAGGCCAAGGCAGGCAGATGGCTTGAGCCCAGGAGTTCGAGACCAGCCTGGGAAACATAGTGAGACTGTGTCTCTACAACCAATAAAAAAATTAGCCAGGCATTGTGGCGCATGCCTGTAGACCCAGCTACTTAGGAGGCTAAGGTGGAAGCCTGAGCCCAGGAGGTCGAGGCTGCAGTGAACTGTGATCATCACGATCATGCCACTGCACTCTAGCCTGGGCGACAGAGTGAGACCTCGATTTAAAAAAAATAGTTTCCTTATGTCCCTTTGCAGCTGATCCCCTGTCTCTAAACAACAACTGATTTCTATCACTATAGTTTTGCCTTTTCTAGAATTTCCTGTAAATGGGATCATGCAGTACATAGTCTTATTTAGGTTCTTCCACTTAGCAAAATATTTCTGAGATTCAGCCATGCTTTTGCGTGTATTATGAATGTTCAATACTTTTGATTGCTGAGTAGTATCCCCAAGTACAGATAGACAACAATCTACCAGACATGGTGGCTCACAGCACTTTGGAAGGCCAAGGCTGACAGACAGCAATTCATTTCTCCATTCACTAGTTGATGAACATTTGTGTAACCTCCAGTTTGGGGCTATTCTGAATAATACAACTATAACATTAGTGGACTAATCTTTGTGGGAGCAAAGATTAGTCGTGGATTAGCCGTAATTTCTTTGGAGTAAAATACTTGGATGCAGAATTGCTATGTTATAGGTTAAGTGTATGTTTAACTTTATAAGATGATAACATACTATTTTCCCAAGTGGCTGTGCCATTTTGCATTTCCACCAGAAATCTGTGAGGTTTCCAATAGCTCTATGTCATTGCCAACCCTTGGGATTGCCAGCCTTTTTAACTTTAGTCCATAGTGGTACTTCATTATTATTTCAATTTTACTTCTCTGACCACTAGTGAAACCGACCATCTGATCATTGCCATTCATATATCTTCCTTCGTCAAATTTCACTTTGAATCTTTTGCCCTTCTTTGTCTTATTGCGCTGTGAGAATTCTTTCTATATCATGGATATGCACTCTCCATATATTTCGGGGGGATTTTTTTTCTTTTGAAACTGGGTCTTGCTATGCTGCTCAGCTGGTCGCAAATTCCTGGGCTCAAGAAATTTCCCCCTCAAGTCTTGGTTCCCCAGCTGGGACTGCAAGGCATACTACCACTCATGGCTCCATATGTATTTTTTAATGTAAATTTTATTGAGGTATAATCATCCATGTTATACGGAATGCATCATAAATGGTATAGAGTATGGTTTTATGTCTTTAACTTAATATAATAGATATTGTACAAATCTATCATTCTGCAATTGCTTTTTTTTCCCCACTAGGCATTCTATTTTTTTTAATTTATCCCTGTGGATACATGCTGCTCCAGGTAATTCATTTTACCTGTTGTAAAGGATTCTGTAATGGGATCAAAACATGATTTATTTATCCATTCTCTGTTGGATTATAGGTTGTTTCCAATTTTTTGCTATTTCAAACAGTTCTGTAGTGAACACTTTTATACATATTTTCTTACACACATAAGAGCTTCTCTAAGCAAATTCCTAGAAGAGGCATAGGCACTGCATATCTTTAAATTTATTCCAATTTTCTCTTTAGCTATATTTATTCTACTATTCAGCCAACCTACCGAGCTTTAAATGTGAACAATTATTTTAAATTTCCCAGATCTCTTAGTGATTCATTTTAGTAACAGCCTGTTCTCAGTTCATGGATATGCTATCTTCTCCAATCTCCCCAGTGATAGTAACTGCACACTTTAAGGTCTTCTTTTGTGTTTGCTCTCTTAAGTGTATTCCTTTGGGTTTTAGGTCTTTTGTTTGTTAAGCCTGATGCCTCTCTTTCACGGTGTTGATTTTCCTCGAATACTTGGGCATCCTTGGTTTTCTGCTCACCTTTGCTTTGAGAATTCCTTTCTGTCTGTCTCTGAAGGATGATTTTGCCCACAAGGTCTTGTCTCTGATAATCACTGTGGGTACTACTAGTGGTGTGTGATGAAGTTGGTCTTTTGATTTCCGAGTGTGCCACTAAATGCCCTAGGGCATGTCCCTGACTCTCAGACCCAAGTATTCCCACTCACTGCTCTGGCTTGTGGGCAGATTCTCCTGTTGTTGTCTCCTCAGCATGATCCATGGGCAGGGATGGGCCGACAAGCCTGGCTGCTCTGACTGCCCTCAACTGCTTACTCTCAAGACTGCCACAGGTATTCTTCTTGGTCTGAGTTCCCAGTGGTCCTGTCGACTCTGGGTTCGTCGCTCTCCTGGAACAGCCCCACCCTGCACAGCGAGCCTCTCCTCCTGGATTCTGGGCGATGGACTCCTCTATCCATCCACGCCCGTCTACTTTTTCATCTTTAGGAATTTCAGTTTCTGGTTCACTGAGGAATCCCTTTCTTGTTTTCTACAATGGTTATAGATAGTATATATTTATATGAGTACTTTTTTCCCTGATAACAGGAAATTTAGAAAGAAAAGACTGTACACCTAGGCTGTCTCTTTTATCCACTCTTCTGTGCTTATTTCCTTTTTCTTTTTTTTTTTTGTTGAGTTGGAGTCTCACTCTGTCACCCAGGCTGGAGTGCAGTGGCACACTCACGGCCACCCCTCAGGCGATCCTTCCACCTCTGCCTTCCAAGTAGCTGAAACTACAGGCGCGTGCTACCATGCCTGGCTATTTTTTGTTTATTGTAGAGACAAGATCTCGCCAAGTTGCCCAACTGGTCTCGAACCCTCAGGCTCAGGCAATCCACTCGCCTGGGCCTCCCAAAGTGCTGGGTTTACAGGCTGAGACACCGAGCCTGGCCTCTTATTTTCTTAAATTCTGTCATTGCTCTGTCTTTCCTGACTTTCTCTGACCTTGGGTCTCTGTGTATTTCTCCATTTCTCTCTGGCTGTGTTTGTATGTCTCTCTGTCTCTGTCTCTGGCTGTCTTTCTGTTTCCGTATTTCCCTGTGGTTCCATCTCAGTTCCGATGGTCTCTACTCATGTTTCTCTCTCTTCCTGTTCTCCAAGCCCTCTGCCTCATCATCCCCCCAATCTCAGTGACTGCTCCCCATCAGCACAAGGCTCTAGCCCCATGGCTGGCTGACTGTGGAGCAGTTTGCGGGTGGGGGAGCCCCAGATTGCTGCAACGTGGAGCAAGGATTTCCAACACATGCTCCCCCTGGCAGTCTGCCACCACAGCTCACTGCCTGCCAACATCACACTTCAACTTAAAGAGGGAAAACTGCCAGACCAATGTTTTAGCTACAGCCCCGTGTCAGGGTTGCATGGGGAATCTCGCAGCAGCCCCTGCCAGGAGCTGGAGCTGTGAGGGGATTAGGGAAGGGGCTCTGGGCTCCTGGGTGGTGATAGGGGGTCCTGGCTGCCAACCTCCCTGGCCTCACTGGTTCTGGGGACCAGAAAATTTGCCTGAAATCCACTCACAGCTCTGGGCTGAGCTGAGTTCCTCTGGGCTCTCCCAAGGATAGGCTCTTCCTTCAAGGTCCACTGCTGGGCAGGTAGATTACCAATGGTCCTTCTTCCTCTTCTCGTTGTGTTTCCTGCCCCCATGCCACCCACAGTGTGGCTGTATCCTCCATCTGCAGGCCAGGTGGCTCTGTGCTCTGAGCCAAGAGACCTTAAGTGCAGGGAATGGTCTGGAACTGAGAAAAAGCCAGTGGCATCACTCTGGTTTTACTGCCCAAAAGTTAGAAAATGCCAGAGACCACAGGAGAAGCATACATCCTCATCAATGAACAAATGCTCATCCTTCTCAGTGCAGAAGCTCCATTTCCCCCCCCCGGGACTTAACCTCTGCCAGTATAGATGTGCCCAATCATGCCAGTGTAAACATGCCCATCTATAGAAACACTCATTCTAGCAAATGTAGGGGTTTTTATTTATGTGAGTATGGAAAAGTGCTCATCTCTACCTATGTAGAGCACCCTTCCCTGCCAGTATAGACTTGCCAGTTCCTTTACAATAATCACATCCATTCCTGTCCCTATGGACATTCCCAGCTCAACTGCTGGAGACGTTTTTGTTCCCATCAATGTAGAAGCACCCACACCTGTATTAATACAGAAGCGCCCTCTTGAGAACTCCCACCAGAATTCAATCTACATGCCCTTCTTCCATGCGGCCTTCCCATTCTTCCAGGGAGATACATCCTCCCTGCATATGCAGAGGCTTACTAAGGGCGAAGGAGAAGCTTGCCCATCTCTACAGTGTAGAAACACCCGGCACGGTTAGTGTGCTGTTTATTATTCCTCCAAGGGTGGATGTGCCCAGTATTCCAGCATGGATGGGCCCATTCCAAACCTGGGGCAAGCCTCTTTTTGGGAGTACAGTGGCTCCTAGAACAGCAAATATAAGCACATGCATATGTGTAAGCACAGAAGCAGCCATTTCAACTAATGTAGAAACACTCATCTGTGAGAATATAGAAGCTCCCAATCTCACCAGTTTAGAAGTGCCCATCAATACGGAAGTATCTATTGGTAGGAGTGTAGGAGCTCCCAGTTCTCCACTTAGGAATGCCAGTGCCCCGCTGCTCTC